CTTCGTTCCTGTCATGCCACCGGTCATCAACAAATCCGTCAACCTGATTTTGATCATCGTGTTAACCATCACCATGGTTTCAATGGGATGCACCATGGAGGTGGCCAAGATCAAGGTGACTCCAGGTGATATCTATGAGTTTGAATTACATTGTAAAAAGTAATAAAGAATCGATCACACTCAGACTCTTGTGTTCAAATGTCATTTCCTTCTTTTCAGGATCACATATTGAAACCTAAGGGGGTTTTAATAGCTGTAATTTCCCAGTATGGTGTGATGCCTCTGACAGCCTTTTGCCTGGCTAAGGTCAGTATTACTTAAACTTAACTTATTACGTAAACAGCTGAGTTAAAGATCCATCCGGTTTGGTTGTAGCACTCTGTCTGGTCATTTCCCTCCCATGGATGCTGCTCATAATTAACATCTTTTTTTAAAGATATTTTTGGGGGCCTTTTTGCCTTTACTAGATAGGAAAGCTGAAAAGAGACAGGAAATGTTGGGAGGAGAGAATGGGGGATGACATGCAGCAAAGGGCCGAGGTTGGATTTGAACCCATAGTGCTGTTAAAGGTGCAACAGGAGCATGAGAGTACGCGTCCGATCATTTAAAGAACCAGCCTGATTATGCTTTTTGATGTATCACTCAGATTCTGTTGTTTTTCTGTTCATGAATTTGATTTCTTAACCCAAATGAAAATGCAAAGCAACATGGTTGGCCTGAAATAAAGATGAGATTTTTGGAAAAATATGGGGCGCCGGTGGCCTGATGGTTGGTGCACCACATAAAACTAACACGATAAAACTTTGCTCTTCATGCAAAAGAAACAGAGATTCTTTAAAAGTCAAAAAGAGTATTGACGAATGTAAGACAAGAACTGTGGTTCTCTAATATCCCCCAAAACAAGAGCTGTAGCACTGAATTTTTCTATTTATCATCTTTCCAAAATCAAAATGAGATCTGTTAGACATTGTTCTAATAAGTAACAGACACTGACAGCGCTCTGTGTGATGAACGTTTCATGCCGCAGGTGTTCCAGCTGACTGAAATACCGGCTGTCATTGTTCTGATTTGCGGCTGCTGTCCTGGAGGAACCCTCTCCAACATCCTGGCCCTCGCTATGCAGGGAGATATGAACCTCAGGTACACACACACACACACATAGGTATGCATGCACTCACGCACACACACAATGCCATACAGTAATCCACAAAACAACGGCTGGTGTCACACACCCACTTCTTAAACACGGTCTTATTATGGATCTTTGTTAATCTTTGTACTGACTTCCTGCTTTATAGTGTTTCTATTCCACTTATAGAATTATCTCCCCATCTGTGGGCAGAGGTAGATGACTACTTAAAGTCAGATTCACCAAAGAAATAGTCCAGATAATAAATGTTGAAACATAATTCATCTGTATGACGAGAAAATGCATTATAGGGCCGTTATGAACAGTCCTGATTGAGCAGGTCGAACAGCCTCAGCCCTCATGTGCTGATAGTATCTGCTGATACTTTTCCATTGAGCTGCAGTGGATGATGCTGTGTGTCGATCAGAGTGGCCTGAGTCATGTGACTTGATAAGAAGCAGCACGTTTGTCATGCCATAATAAGTTGGAGAGTTGAACTATGTGCAGGAATTCCACCGCTGGGCTCATAAAACTACATTTAAAGGTTTTGAATTCTTAGCCTTTCATCTCATTGTAAAAGTTGTTCTCCTGTAATCCGCCGTAGAGTTTACTGTCACATTTACAGCAACATTCACACACTATCAGATGCCCTAAGATCTTATCTGGCTCATGACTTTTTAGCATATATATAGCTTTACTGGGGGCAATAATGTGTCAAACAAAACTGATAAATCTTCACATAATGAAACATATCTCATCATTTTTTAGACTGGAAACTTTCTGCACCAGGTCATTTATAAAAAAATCAGCCAAACATTTTACGGTTGATTAATATCTGCTGCAGGATTTGATTTGTGTACATTGTTAGTCAACAGTCATATTGCATGCTTATTCATTTTCCGCATCCTCCTGCCTTATTCTGTTCTAGGATTATTTCCTTGCAGCGCTTGTTTCATACTTCTTTGCATTTTTTAAAACTTTAATATTTATTGTCCTCAGTCGATTCACAAAAACATTTAAACGCCGTGTTCCTATTGTTCCACAGCACACATGGTACACACATTTTACAGTGTAAGGGTGACTGTAGCGTGTTGTTAAACAACTGCTGTCCTTAAGAGAGCAATAAATCTGAGGACAAGTCTGCAAGCGTTCATAGAAAATACTGAATCAGCAAGTTGGATGCCTCCACTGCACCCCCTGGAGACCACTATGTTCATTACACCTTCCAGACATGCTGTCAGGTTTTCATACAAACATCATGATGTTACAGTGTGACATCTCATCAGTGCTTTCTATCAAAACAAGGAACACTTTAAGAACAGCAGAAACAAACTCAGTAGATTTCTGCTTGTCTGATTTGGGCTTTTTGTCTGTGCATACTGGTGCATATAGAGACACAGTATGGAGTGGACAACGAATGTACATTCATGAGTAGAATCCAGGAATAAAGGTTAAAAGCCTTTTCCTGGGGGCGCTGGTAGCCTAGCGGTTCGAGTCCAACCTGTAGCTCCTTTCCTGCATATCATCCACTCGAGACATAAGTGGTTATCTTTAATGTAAGATTCCTCATTTATGACTAAATTTGAAAGTTAAGATTAAACATTACGTGTCTCAAAGATAAGGCATCCTCCTCTAGTTTAGAGCACTTTTCTCTGCAGTCTGGACCGGTCTCTAACTTCTACTATCTTTCTTTACTGCCTCTGCTGGGGAAGGAGTGAATGAAATAACATACAGTAAACACAAGAAGTATAAATTTGCCTGCCTTGTCAGCTTACTCTCACACTCAGATACATCCAGACTAAGAAGATGTCTCTTGTGTCTCCCCCCCCCCTCCTCCCCTCTCAGCATAGTGATGACTTCCTGCTCCACTCTGCTGGCTCTGGGGATGATGCCTCTGCTGCTCTACATCTACTCTCAGGGCTACGCTAACCTGCAGGACTTGGTGCCCTACATGGATATCATGAAGTCTCTGGTCATGATCCTCGTCCCCTGCGGCATCGGCATCCTCCTCAACTACTACAGACCTCAGTACTCCAAGATCATCACAAGGGTTAGTGCTGCGTGCAGGCGTACACGGATCAGAGTGTGGGATGAAATCTGTGGCGATTCAGTGTTTGTAAAATAAAAGAGAACGTACAGGCCGCAATAGGTAGAAACACTTGTAGTTGCCGGCTTCTTTAATGTGAGGATTTGCTGATTTTCTCAGTTATATTTCATTGTAAAGTGAATATCTTTTGATTTTTGAGTATCGGTCAGACAAATATAGTGTTTAGTGACATCTCTTTTGGACTTTTATGAATTTTTAACGACATTTAATACAGCGCATGTGAGTTGTTTAAATAAGACTTAATAAGATAATTCTTTGCTTTCTCACTGTACACAGACATTTAAAAAAAGGGATAAAAATGGGGGTGCAGGTGGCCCAGTGGCTAGCTTGCGCCCCCCCCCCCCATCAGATGCCTTAAGATCTGTTGGCTTAGGTAGAATCCAACCTGTGGCTCCTTTCCCGCATGTCGTTCCCCATTCCTCTCTCTCCCTGGTTTCTGATTCTATCCACTGCCCTGTCTCTCCAGTAAAGGCAGAAAAAGCCCAAAAAATAAATCCTAAAAAAAAGGGATTAAAAAAAAGTGTGTTTTTTATGGTTCCCGTTATGTTTTTGTTTTTTTTAATCAGTCAGGCATCATCATGTTGTTGCTGGCTGTGGTGGTGGTCTGCGCCCTCGTCACTGTCGGAGTCGGGGGCTCCATCCTGAATGTGCTGGCTCCTCGCCTCATGGCCGTCAGCTCGCTCATGCCCCTCATAGGATACTCCTTCGGTTACATCATCTCCTCGCTCTTCAGACTCGCACAGAAGTGAGTCAGACACCGTGTTTACTTTTCATTTGAGCTCTGATGAGATACTGAGAACCTGAGGGATGACAATAAGCACCCCTTCACGTGTCAACATTATTCCCCATCCCTCAGGGAGCGTAGGACTGTCGCTATGGAAACAGGCTGTCAGAACGTCCAGCTGTGCGTCACCATACTGAAGCTGGCCTTTCCCCAGGAGCTGATAGGCCCCCTGTTTCTGTTCCCCTTCGTCTTCGGGGTCATGCAGATCATCGAGGCAGTCGTGCTCATCGTGCTGTTCAGGTCTCACCAGTACTTCACACGAAACAAGAAAGGTAAGACTCGTACCAGGTTTTTAAAAAAGATGTATGTTTCCTGGCCAAGAGGGGCAGCAGCCGTTAAAAAAGTTACAGTCATAAAGGAGAGAGCAATTACAAACACAGGTCAACATGTCTTAAAGTCACAGATAAGGAAAGCCATTATTCCACCTTTTCAAACAGTCCCTGTGGTCTAAATGAAACATCTGTGCTGTGCTTTGGTCAAAATATAACATGTATCAAGCACCAGAGGAGGTTTGTGACCCTGTATAAACCAGCTCTCTCAGAACGCTCCGTTTTGGTGTGTGTCTCTTTAAATGCAATGATCCTTTATCAATCGATCTTTTAACCTGTAGTTCAGTCAAGTATTTTTCCACAGGTATTTAAATGCATGTGTGATAAATGTGTTTTTACGCCTGTACTGTTAAATTAAATATATATCCTTATTCTGTTTTATATCGTCCTCTACAAATCCACTTGTCCGACTTCCAGAGACGTACAAGCCGACTGAGACAGAAGAGAAGCCTGAGAAATCCTCAGATGTAGCCGTGTGATGGACAAACCTCAGACAGAGTTCACTTTTTATTCCTACCAGTTTGAACTGTTGCTGACCCAAAGACAGAAGCTTCTTTTAAAAGGCTGCCGCACGACTTGAAAGAAACTAAATGGTTAAATGAGAAAGCACTGATGACCAAGAAATTCATCATTTAGGTAAAATTGTTTTTTTTTTTTTTTATTGTTTACGTCCATTGTCTTCCTTACACCATACAAACGTCCAATGTTTTTCACTGAAAATAAAATCCTTATGTACAAAAATGTTTTCTGAACTCTTCGTCTACGTGTTCATTCGAAGCACAGAAACATCAGACACAGACCAACAAGCATTCTTGGAATTACATTATACACTTATGCCACACAAGTTTGCGATGCTGTACACAAAACCTTTCAACTAAATTAAAAAAAACACACAATGCTCAAATAAACTGCATTCTTTAAAGTTACACCACTTAAAGTGCTCACATTAAAGTGTTGACCTTATCCCAAATGGACTTTTTTTTTTGCTTTTTTAACATCTTCTAACAAAGTAAAAATTCAACTGTCAACTGCAAGAAAATGGAATTTACAGTTTATTACTGAATAGCTCATCAAATGCAGTAATAGTGTGTTACTGTACAGTGCCCTTTACACTGAAGCTGCCAATGCCAGTTAGAATGGTGGCTTGTATTTGAGCTTTATGCACAGAGAAGATATTTTCAATAGTAATGAGTCTAAACTCTGTTCAAAGAAAAGCACATGCAAGCATCAAAAAGGTATCGGTATGACTTACACCAGCTGTGGTAGGTACAGTGGGTCAGAAAATACAGAAAAAAAGAGGTTCAAGGACTTTGAAAATGTGGGTGATACGGACAAAAATCGAAAATGATACGAAAAGTTTCCCACTAACAGCAGAATGAGCACACAAAGTAAAGAAAGTGGTCATGTAGCTTATCAGAAGGATCCTGCTGATGCTAAAAAAACAAAAAAAACAACAGATTCCCTCTGCTAAGATTTTAAAGTATAGAGATGACTTACTCTACGGAGCCAATGGCAGCGAGCCTGGTTCAGCCGGATAATTTAAGCGACTTTAAGAGAGGACACGGCGGTGCAGCAGAACTGGACCAGCAGTCTATTTGGATGGGTTCACTCAGAGGGGCGGAGTCACAGGTAGTCAAAACATAAATGGGTCTAAAAATGGCAGGAAATGAGGAGAATAATAAAATGTGTGGTCTGTTTTGTACGTTTATTTTAATTATAAAATGCCCTATGGGGAGAAAAATATTAGAATATCATTTTTTCAGCATGTGTAGTTTGAAATCTAAAAAGCTACACAAACATAGTATTGACAAAACATAAAAAAAAAAAAAACATTACTCGAGTACTCGAGGAAAACTGCGGTCAGAAGAGGTAATGAGAGCTCCAATGTGCTCTTCTCCTCCATTCTGATTCTAATCGTGAAAGCTGTTTCTGCTGTTGACTCCTGTTTACCTTAAACGTAGGTTTTAGCGTTGGCTGTCAGTGGAGGGAGAACGAGAGCGGGAACGTGAGCGGGAGCGCGAGCGAGAGACGGACGCTCTCTGAGCAGGCATAGGGGAGGGCGGGGTGGCTGACTTGCTCGTCTTGGAGGATCTCTTTGGGGGCTCCTTCGATTTGGGGGTTGGGGAGGAGGCTCCGCCGGCTGGCGAGCGGCTGCGAGAGCGGGAACGATTGCTGGCCTTGGCGGGGCTGCGGGAACGCCGGGGGGAGCGAGATGGTGAGCGTCCACGAGATCGGGAGCGAGAGCGAGAGGAGCTCTCAGACCGGGAGCGACTCCTCGACCTGCGAAAAGGAAAACGAGAGATCATCAGAATGCAGCCAACCTTCAGAACATTTGGTTCATGAATTATGGTTGAGGACTTGAACGCTTTCACTCATGTATTGGTTCAAAGAATTTATACACTCCAAGGTGTCGTTGTGAATAACAACATACCTTACTTAATATATCTTAAATACATCGCAATTTATCATTTTTAGTGCTCAAAGAAATCTATACACTCAATAGAGCCATCCAGTTGAACAGTGTTATTTGGAAGAGGTGGATGCCTCTTTTACAAGCGCTTTCTCTAATGTGACTTTTAATTAGTTAGAAAGCAGTGAAATGTTCTTCAATCAATACCGTTTCACAGGATTTATACTCAGAATGTTTCCCAGTTGCAGAGTCATGACCTACAGGAAGGTGCTGATTAACATTTAACAAATATCATCTAAATCTGTAAATGTTTCACAGATCTATGAAAGCAGGTGGATCACTGATTTGAAGTTTATTGCTAACTATGTTTACACGCAGAAGGAATTTGACTTGTTGTGAGGTAGTAAAAATGAACACAGAAGTAGAAGCCAGTCTGCAGATCTGTGTGCGGCCATCTGAGGGCGAATGCATCGGCCACATCAGTGGACTTCTTTAATACGTATTGATGTTTGGACTGAACGGAGGCTCCAGCAGGTTACTCACCTCTTCTTTGCTGCCTCAATGAGCTTAATTTTCCTGCCATTGATTTCCTTTCCAGACAGTTTCTCAAGAGCATTTTTCAGATCACCATAAGCAGCAAACTCAACAACCCTGCACAAAAATAAAAACAACAACAACACGAGACATTTGTAAGTTACATCTTAACTTGGACGGTGATTTACCTTAAATTATAACATCCACACGTCTCACAATGTGGCATTCATTCAACAACGTTCGTAACGTAATGTTAACAGAGAGCATGGTCTTACCCTTCGTTGAGCTTGGGGCGATGTGCGTCTGCAAATGTCACCTCTCCAGCTTGTCTCATGAAATCTTTCAGATCCTACACACGTACACATCAGTTAATTTACGGAGGGACTCAGGACACAAAGACAGGCTGAAACATTAACAGGACTGATTTACCCAAAAAGAGAGATGGTTAGATTGTCTGAGACGACTACAAGGGCTACTGCAGATAAGGAGGGTGAGTCCAAGAACCTCTGATACTGTCTCATCAGCCAGTCTTTCAGCAACATAGTGTTTAACATACAAAATAAAAAAAATCTTCAAAATGTGTGCCAATTTAGAGGTCGACCAACTTTGATTATCTGCACTCTGACTGGACAGGCTGAGTGTTTTTAACAGCTCTGAGATTCTTGGACCCACTGCTCTTACAACTACAGAGACATGAACACCATCTGCATGAACTGAGCTGCAGTGGCGCCCCCTGGGCAGCGTTTGGCACTAAGAGCCCCATGGCAACCTCCCTGGCAAGGAGAGCACAGGGCTCGGCACCGGGACCGCCCCTGTCTCGGCACCCCGCCTCAGTAAAGAGAGTGAACAGGGTGGAAGAGAGGAAACTACTACCTGAGAGCGAAACCCTTTGGGACGGGCCCACCATAACAGCAGATTATATCCACGGGCACCTGGGAGGCATTCACACTCTCTCTCTCTTGCTCGCGATGTGCGGGAACACCAGAAGGGGGAGGGGAGGGGGGATATCGATCGATCGAAGCCCCTCAAATTAACGAACCATCGATCAATACGCCATCACCATCGACTCTCGCTCTCTCCTCTCCTTTCTCTCTGCCAACTCTCTGTTTCCTCTCTCTCGCTCTCTGCCACACACCAGGCACCCCCCTGCTTTCGGCAAGGGGCGTTGCGAGCGAGCGTAGGGGCCTCCAGCACCTCTAGTGTGGAGCGAGCGCTCACATGACCAGCAGGCATCAACTAGGTGTAGGACAGACTGGCTGACAGCACAGGCTCAACCCAGACAGAAGGACCCAGAAGGGGTTAACTCCACCATAAGCGAGCTCTTCCACATGACACAACAGTCAGGCTGGCAAATAAAGGGGTGAAGAATTGGTTAAAATTTGAAAAAAATGAACAAATGAAGTGTTTGCTGTTACTGCTCTTTCAGTGATTACATAACTGCATAAGATGCAGATTTAATTAGAGCTGTGCTTTTAAAAAGACCAATTTGGGCCTCATCACATTAAAATGATTTTGACTGGTAACACATTTTAGCAAATCAGATTCCTAAGATGTTATGTTTTTAGCAGCATGGAAATGATATAATTGTATGTGTGTATTTTTGCAGGCAGACTGTTGGATGTGAGAATGTTTTTGCTTTGAGAAGCATTCTGTGAGAAAATAACATGTAGCAACGCTAACCTGCCAGCTGACGCGAGAGGACAAGTTCTCCACTATCAGGCGGTTCTCCGTGCGCATCGGAGGAGGGTTCCGGCTAAAAAATAAAAGGAGAAAAAAAGTTAAGATACAGACTTAAACAAGGGGCTCTTATTAGCTAATTATCAAAAGCAAATACTAGTTCATATCAGGATCTTTAATATGTAATGTGGTCAGGGCTTGTGTTGCATTTGAGGAAGACATCAAACTCGTCCAGACCGTTTGTTGACCTTTCACTACAAAACGGTTTTAAGATGTTTGCATAATGTGCTTTTAGATCTTTCATCAGCATGTGTTCCTTCCTTATTTTGACGAATTTAAGCGACACTGATGCATCACAGATCTGTTGATGTGATGTTAACCCTTACCTCCGACTGTTCTGGGAGCCTCGACCATAGCGATCAGAGAATCGACCTCCTCCATTGCCGCCGCTGCCTCCTCTGCCACGACCGCCACGCAGGCGCACACGGGCGTGTTCAATGGTCACCCTGAGGGGTAAAAAAACTTTAAGTGGAGGAAAAACTCAAATAAATCTGTTTCCTTAAATCTACAGTAATAAATACTCATACCTTTCATTGCACAACTCTTTGCCATCAAGCTCATAAACGGCATCTTCAGCATCTCTGGGGTCGTCGAACTCCTACAACAAACAAAACAGACAACATTTAAAACAATCTCAATTAACGTTTGGGTCATTTTCCACATCGTTTCCACCGAGGAGCACGACTAAATGCCCACGGGAGTCTTTTTGACCTGTGGCCATCAAACTGTGTGACTCCACAACTTTCGGCAACATGGAAAGCATAACTTTCATTTCATGTGCAGTACTGCTTTCCATCATGCTCAATCATTTTCCTATAATGTAGAGTGCAGCATTGCAGTACTGGGCTATATTATGATCATTATTCAAGTGCAAAGATTACTTTTTACAATTGGGATAAACTTTTTTTAAATTTTGAATACTTAACAGCAGCAGTAGCTCAGTCTGTAGGGACTTGGGTTGGGAATCAGAGGGTCACCGATTCAAGTCCCGGCATGGAAATTGGCCTGGTAGCTGGAGAGGTGCCAGTCCACTTCCTGAGCACTGCCGAGGTGCCCTTGAGCAAGGCACCTAACCCCCCCACCAGCTCAGGAGCACCCACTGTGGGCAGCCCCCTGAGACCTCTCCATTAGTGCATGTCCATAGGATCCTGTTTGTGCCTATGTTTGTGTAGCATGTTTTATATATTCACATTCTTAGTTTTGATATTTTTGAGTACTTATTTACTTTGTATTTAATATTATATTATGTTTAGATTTGCTAACATTGTGTTTTTTTACCTCATTGTGTGTTTGGACAACCTGCTGCTGTAACGCCACAATGTCCCAGTTTGGGATCAATAAAGTTATTCTATTATATGTTTACAAGACAGAATGCAAAAACAAATTTCCCCTTGCGGGATCAATAATATAATTATAACTATAATTTGCAATATCACTTCCTCACAATGTTAGGACTGGGGGTGTGGTCACGACCTGGAGCATAAACAGAGGAACTGTAACCCAAAAGCTCATGTAATGTTAAACCCACAACAATGTGCGGAAGCGTATAAAAGACAAGCATCAACCTCACGTTTTGAATGTATAATTTACCAAGATATTTACAGATTACAACGTTATACTGATCCTTATTTATAAATAGAGTATTTATTTTACTTATTATTTTATTAATCAATTATTATTGATTGATATATATGTATAGGTTTGTGTGGATATATCTATGTACGAAACTGGGAACATGCGTGGGGTGGGTGGGAACTTGCAGACAGGCCTGGGAACATATAGCCTCTGAATAATTTAATAATTTATGTTTAGAGTTTTTCTTTGTATTTTTTTCCCCATTGCCTGTTTCTGTTTTAATTTTAAAAACCATTCAATAAAAAGAATAATAAATAGAGTAGCGGCTGCAGTACTCCTCAGTACCACCCCGTGTGATTGTGTCGACCAGGGGGAACAAAATTAAAGCCCTAATATTGTACAACACATTGATACTATCTTCTGAGGGACTAAGCTACAACAGGGTGACTTACATTCCTGTGAATAAAAAGAATAAATCACAATGTGTTTGGTTTAAAATGAATAAGGCCTGCTGACTCACCACAAAGCCGAAGCCCCTCTTCAGGTCGATGTCCCGGATGCGGCCGTATCCCTTAAAGAACCTCTCCACATCCTTCTCTCTCGCAGACGGACTCAGCCGCCCGATGAAAATACGACATCCGCTCATTTTTGATGCTGTGTGTATCTAAAAAAAAAAACAGAATTCAAAGCATAAACGTGGATTCTCTTAAAACGAATCCTCCTTCATCAAGTAACTGTGCATAGACAATAACGGCATCACAAATGCTAAGTTTGCGTTAGCATGTTAGCACACAAAAAAAAAATACACCCGAGGCCTAGTATGCGAATCTACTAAACATAATCTTTTCATTTGACGCTTACACACGACAGCTAACATCCATACACACAAAAGTGGAAACGCAATGTTTGATTTGAATCGCAGTAAACATACCTTTGACCCGTTGTCTGTGAGGTGTTTTCTTTCTTTCTATCAACAGTGACCGCAAACTAGAAAATCAAACAAAATGGAGCATCTGCTGTTTTCACGGAGGGGCGGGACAAGGAGACGCACCACGTGACGCATGCGCATGACATCACTAGTACTTGAGGTTTAACGGCAGCAATCGTGTGTCGTCACGGTCGTAACCATGGTTTGTTGCCATAGAGATATAACTGTAACGTTGCTCTGATGTTTGGTTTATCCTGCAGTACAGGGGGGAAGATAATGTTTTTTTTAACTTACTGCCGTTTAACTTTTAGGTCAGTAAATAAAATCTGTCTTCCTCTATTTTTTGAATATGTGTGCACGTTTTTGGAGAAGTTTATAGGCTATTATAAACAAAAAATGAAACGTCCGATTAGAAAATATTCTAAAAAATGCTTTTGTTTATCGTGTGATAAATAGTCCTACATCGGTATCAGAGGACTTGTTAGTACGATTGTACGAATGTTTGGGCTGAATTGTTTCCAGCTTGTGTGTGTGTGTGTGTGTGTGTGTGTGTGTGCTTTGAGACATACTGGCAGCAGTTTTGGTTAAAAAGTATTGACTGCAGCAGGAAGGAAGGACCTGCGATATCTCTCCTTCACATACCGCAGCTGAAGCAATCTGCTCTGGAGGAGCTTTCTATTCTAGTGCTGGTCCTGTGCAATGCAGGGGATGGGAAATGTCTCCCACTACCTCAGAGCTGGCCTTCTTCACCAGTTTGTTCAGTAGCCTATGTTCCTGTTATCTTCAGTCCAGTTTATGGTTTAGGTGGACACCAAGGTAGCCTATTTATAAGAGAGAGCTTTTAAGATAAGTGCAGTTTGTACTTCTGGCCACTAGGTGTCAATAAGACACAGATAGACTGCACAGTGTGGAAGAACAGGTCACATGGGTGCTTTGTACTTACAGTAGGACATGATAGAGATGTTATAATAATAATATAGCTTTATAGACAGTTAAGCTCTGGAAAATCATACTAGTTTGATCAACACAGCATCATGGTATAGGAAACTATTATGAATCAGTTTAAAAAAAAATATGAACTACAGCCTTGATTACATGTACTTTCACTATAGATTGGAAATGATTGCCTTGATTTGATGAAGCTGATTAAGAAGCAATGTGACAAATGTACCACCAACAACATGGGAAATGATTTCATTGAATGCTGGTAACACATTCACAGGAAGAAGGCAATTGTAGTCATTCAAGCTAATGTTAAACAGGAGCATGGTTTCCATGTCCAAACACTGCTCAGATCTTCCAGGAACAGATCCAAAGGAAAACTGAATCATAATCTTTTGACTAATACAAGTACTGACACATTGCAACAGTTTATAGGTACTAGAAATGTCTTAACAGAGACGTAAAAGCTTGTTTTATATCTTGAAAAGTGTATTTTATGTCAGCTAGAGAACATTTTTATTTCATGAGTTACGAGACGGACAACACTAGGAAACAGGTTTAAATAATGACACATCATCTTCCACATTCAAAAGAAAGCTTTAATTAGAAAGTTATATACACACTGTAAAATTAAATTAAACTTTGTACAAATATTAAATTACTATCTTCACACCCACTGCCATGTACAGAGGAAAAACCAAAGCTGAGAAGCATTGAAAGTAAGAATCAAGATGTGTACTTTTTTTAACCAGTTATTTTCTGGGAGGCAACACCGTACAACAGTGCTTCTAAACGCAAAGTTCATTTATGTTCTTTTTTTATTCCTTTCAAACCCATCATATGTTAATGCCTTGTCGCAAAAAAAGTAGAAGAAAAGTGAAATATAGGTGCTTATAGGTTCATCATCATCCTCATCCTCATCATCCTCATCATCATCATCACAGTAGCTGGAAAGGGGAGCACAGAGAAGGATTGGACATTCGTTTAGCTGTGTCCACAACAAAAGTAAACTCATTGATAAATACACAAAGACAGTCTTATGCATAGAATAGAAAAGAACAGAGTAAGGCCATTGGGAAAACAGAACACGTTGCAATACTGTAAAGCAACCAACGCAGAGTATTTAGATTATACACCCCCAGTCCCCAAAACAAAAACAAAAAATGAAAGAAAAGAAAATGTACAGGTCTAAGGCAACATTGTTTGCATTAATAATGTAGCCGTTGACATTGACAGACAGCCACAAATACCAACTAAAACAGAGAACAGAATTTCAGATGGGTTGTTCTGTTTGAGCTTTTCTTTTTCTCTGAGCAGCAAAGCTTGAAAAGTAATTCCCGGGATCCTCCAGAGTCATGCTGTTTCCAAAGTGACCAACTCAACCACCGAAGCTTTTCAAGTGGCGATGGAAACAGAGGATGATTTCTAACAAAATAACATAATTCTCTCTTAAGTCTGCACTTGACGTGAGGAGGGTGAGTGAGTGTATGTGGCGGGGGTTGGGGGGTGCTATATAACAAAAACTTTTTTCATCGTGTCACTGCAACCAGTTGCAGCCGTGTCAGTAATGCACAAAAGTGGAGAGTCTTCGGTACAGTGTGAAGTTGGGCGAGAGCAATTTTCCAGCCATTCAGCAGAAAATGATAAATATTCTAGCTGGAGAGCAGATGAATAATACACACATTGTGTGGTGGACCAGTTGCCTGAAGTGACGCTGGTTTGTTCATGTGACTTATTCAGTGCTGGAGGGAGAATTTTCCTGTGGTGTAAGACGGGGACATTGTGAGGCCAGTCTCTGATCTGACGACAGGCAAATCAGAAAATGGCTGACACACAAAGATGCACACGCACGCACACACATGCATTCAGATTCAGCAAACTGAGCCAAACACCAAACAATAAATAGAGTGTGAAGAAAAAAAAAAAAAAAAAAACGCCTTAAGTTTTTAGTCACGTGCCCAATCACCATGTTAAAAGACAACCCTCTTCTCAGCTTGCACTCAGAGTATGACAATATGTCTCCCTCGATTTATTCAGGTAAGACTCATCGCACATCCCTGGAACCAAAACGCCAATCAATCCCAGTCATGCGACAGAAGAAGCACCTTCCACAGTCACGGTGCAGCTGGCAACGGAAAAGAGAAAGGAGCAGGTCTTTATATAGTGGTGACACGGTGCTCCGTCAAACACTGCATCCTGCTTTTAGCTCCTGTGAAGTGGTTCTCGATCCCACTAATCCATATGCTAGACGCCACCCCGGAAACACAGACAGCAAGAGAGAAAGCGAGAGTGAGAGGCAGAGGAGGCTTCATGCTTCATTCAGAGTGGGTCCACCGTGCTGTGACAGCAATAACTCAAAACAACATGCAGCATTCACCAAAAAAAAAAGAAAAAAAAAAAAGAATATTAAAAAAATAACCCAGCCGCCACTCACAACTTTTCAAGTACAGCGGGAAGACGATTCAGATTCTGAGCGCCGCGGCTTCAGGAGCTAACATCACAAGTTATTTCATATTTATCTTTTTTATCTGCAGTAATCCCAGACAGAGTCGAGGTGTCTCAGTTGCTATTGCCTTCTCCCATGAAGCCTCTGTGAGCGATGGTAATATAGAGAACTACACCTGGGAGTAGGCAAGTGTACAGTAATACAAAGCCTATGGTACACAACCTTAACTCAGTGTGTGTTTTACTCATATACATCGGATCTACAGGATTTATGTTAAGCTGGCACCACTTTGTTTGTCTGCAGTTTGAACCAGCAGCTGGGTCCAGTGGTGCTCCATCATTGCTTGTGAGTTTCGGTAGTTGGTTTTGCTCTGCATGGGCAGCGATGGCAGAAGAGGTTGCATGGGGTGATGAACAAAGTTCTAGTCTTTTTCTCTGCTGAAGGGAAGTCAGGGGCAAGTGGGTTGACAGCCACAGTCAGTCCTGGTCAGCAGAGAGAGATTGGGGAACGGGGGCCTCTGCTGCTGATGCTGATAGCAGGCTGGCAGGCTTCATGCTTCCTTCAGCAGAGGAATATCTGCAGGGAGACAGATCAGACGGATTAGAATACAGTTACAGTTCAGGGGTCAGCTACCTCTAGCACAGTCATGCAATTCATTACATCACCAAAAACTGTTTAATGTGAGTGGCTTTCTTTTTTGTTTAAGTCATGAGAAGTTACTGCTCTTACCCATTCTAAAAATTCTGTCCCTGCTGCCTATTGTCTGTATAAACAGGCTCCTAATTGACTTTTGGTTATGCTATATCCCATAAAATCCAGGAGTGTAGAGGCATTGTCCACTATTTCACCTTCCATGCATGGACACTTTAAATGTTTAGGTAAATACTCAAATGTATTTGGTTTGGTTTGGTATGAACTTGAAATTCAGCATTAAGAGGTCATACTCTTAATGTAACCTTTCTTGTGTCAAATATCAGGGATATTCCTTGTGACTTATTTTGTGGTTATTGAAATAGAAATTTAAATTCAAGTTGAGGGGAAACATATCTTGTGCAGTAACAGTCATGATATGCTGTGTCATGTTTCATATGAAACAGGATGTCAGCATCCGCAGGTTAACCATGTCAAATTGGTCTTCTGAGTGTTGTTAATGTTAGCAGTGCTAGCACAGCCAGTTTGCAGTCCTCCCTGAAGTTTAAAGTCCACATGCCTCTGCTGAGTGAGGTTATTTGTGCCAGCCAATAAGCCAGTTCAACGTGTGACAGCCTACATATACGTTTTATTTTAAGTGATTGGACGTGATTCAATCCTGTGAATATGACAGACGTGGACGTAGCAGGAAAATAGAGAAAATATTAGGCAAATGCCAATCAGATAAAACTTGTTCAAAAGAGAGGGTGAACCTCTGGATTGCTTTCACCCACCGACACGGAGTTGGCCTGCTTTCTGTTGGACAGGCAAGTGCCAAACACCGGTGCTTAGCTTGTGCTAGCATCTGGTAGCTTACAGTAGAGGTACAAGCAGTTCACGTATGGGTCAAAGTCCTGCAGTGGGGGTGTACTTCTGGGGGCAACGAGCCCAGGAGGAGTTGTGCTCCCCTTGTTTAACAGCAAAACGTGTCATTACATGTTGAGTGTGTTTTCTCTTACCATCAGAAAAATCATCTGTAGAGGTGACAGAAAGCAGACTGTGCTGGTCGCTGCTCTCAGAGTCTCTACGGAGAGGTA